CCCCAAAACCCCAAAACCCCAAAACCCCTTTTATTTCAAAAATATTGAAAAATAGTAATAAAGCTATTCTACTCATTCTTAGCTATCTCTAGAATGAATATTGAGAGCTATCTTATGCACTTTCCTCTTGAAAGTAGAGTTGAACTGCTTTCCATGAACACATACATCTTCTGTCTCAATAGGTCGGTCTGGGAAAAGATTAAGGTCGACGACTAAATTCTTATTAGGCTTGCTTTGACTTCTGGCATTCCTTTTTCTCTACAAAAATGACTCTAGATTTTACCGTCCGTCTTCTTATTTGGTTTGATTTGTGTTTCCTTGACTTTTTAGGTCTCTTTGAGTTTGCCATCCTGGAAGAACCTATCCAAAAGCTTCTCGCTGAAGGATTAAAATTAGCTGCTGATTTATTTACGCTCATTAAAGTCGTGGGAAATTGTACTCTTTTCAATAATTTCTTCTAATCTTGAAGAGTTTTGAAAATCTTTAGGAGATTTATATGAAGTAGGCAGTATAACAGGTAAGTTCGAAACTTGAGCTTCAAGCTCAGGACGGCCTAATGATAACTTCTGTGACTTATCTTTGATCATATCAGCGTTTAAATAGACATTATTCTTAAAGTATCCTTTAATAAAAGTCTTATCTGAGAAAATCATAGTCCCGAAGCCATGTTGGATTCCATTGTGCCAATGTCCTTTATACGCACTTCCATCATTCCAGTACATTTCACCATATCCGTCCCTTTCATCATTTTTGAAGTTTCCTTTGTAGTAGTTGCCTGATGCCCATTTGAAGACACCGTAGCCACATTTATTTATCGTTCATGAACTCGCCACGGTATTGGTTGCTGTGAGGGTCATCTTTGGATTCAAGCCAGAGGCCATATCCGTTCTTCATGCCTTCCTTAAGCTCTCCAATATATTGAGGCTTTCTGACACCCGATCTTGATTTGGCCAAATTTTGACTGAAGTCCACTCTTTCATGCTTTTTACTTGTTTTTGGCACATTTTTCATATCCTTCATCTGCAAATGCTGATAGTTTGCAGGAGGATTTCCTCAAGAATATCTATTATTTTCGAAAATTTTGACTTGATTTTTCTGTTCTAAATGGTAAAATTTGTTTAGAGTACTAAAATTTCTCATTTTCTGGAGCTCTTTCCCCCAAACACCATAACCAACCTTTGATTTATAACTTGGAATTGGTTCTTCAGCTTTTACATAAGATGGTTTTTGATTGAATCTAGGGATTCTGACTAAGAAAAGTAAGCAAACAACCTTACCTTGTGGAAGGCTGGTGTATCTCAGACTTTCTTCAGTAGGAGACACTACTGAAGAATGTCCCATAGAGCCTTCTTCTTGATCTAAGGAGTTATGAGAGCATAATTTCATACCTTTCATGTCTATATTTTTATTGATGCGTTTTTTTAATTGAGCTATTCGTTAGGCAATACTCCAAGAAATTAAATCCAAATTAGCTAGAGTCAGATACCTATTCTCTGATGAAGGATTATTTACAAAATTCGGTTTATAATGGTGCCCAATTAAAGTCTTAATTACCTTCGAGTCCTGGGACACTTTTGCCTTTGCCAAATGTTTGGAAAGAGTCATAAACCTGAGTATTCTCTGCAAAATTAGTGCTATAAAGTCCAGAGGAGGCACCAATATTCTGTGGTTTAGAAATATTATTTATTATTTTGCCTTAAGTCTTCGAAGAATCCAGTGTTATCTAAGTCACCTCCTTCAACATGCCTATAATGTACAAAGTAAGAATATGATTGCAAGTTATTGAACATAGTGGTATAATCAAATTATGAAAATTGTTAGACTCAGGAAGACAATCCGTAAGCCTATGAAGTAAATTTGAGAATCCAATGTAGAAAATCGTGCTTGTGTTAAAAAAATTAACAACTAAAATTGTCTCTTCAGCCTAAATGTCAGATGAAAGGGGGTGCATAAAGCATTGTAAACTCTATGATGTAATTATATTAGTTAATCAACCATTGATTCCATGTATCTTAGTTAACAAAGAAGCTTTCATGATAAATGATGAGCGCGGTATGATTCCTCTGTTATTTTACTCACATTTGTCGAGTGCTGGCTTTCTTTGTAAACATTCTGCTTAAAGAATTTTAGAAAAATAGTTATTTTATAAAAAATTAAGGGGTTTTGGGGTTTTGGGGTTTTGGGG